TAAAAAAAGAGTCTTAAACATTGAACATTGACACAAAATAATGATAAAATTATATTTCTTTAATTATTTAGAAATAAATAAAATTATTTTAAAATTCCACTTTAATAAAATAATATAATGAAATTTAATTTATAATGTTAAATTTAATCACAAAGAGTATGCGATATCTTATATAAATTACAAAAAATATCCTGATTTCTTTTAACATTTTCGTTAAAAAACAAGTCAATTATAAATTAATCAGAGAATCTGTCATTAATTAAAATCGCAAATGAAATCGTTATATAATCATAATCTGATAATAATCAAAAAAATTTATAAGAAATAAAAAAATGTTCGTTTCCCAATAAAATATTTTTTGTGTAAAAGATACGATTGGGGATTTATGAGTTGTGCCATCGAGAAATTCTGTTTGCATCATTTCTCGCGGGACGCAATACACACGGTATCGACGAAACCAAGCGAAAAATTTGCACGACGGTTATAGCTGTATGAGAGGAACATTGACAAAACAAAATGTTATCTCAAGCCGGTAATTTGATATCCCGAGGACCGTCAGGATCGTAAACACGTAGCCTCAATGACGAGGAAGCTTATCATTCTGATTGGGGGTTTCCTCGCTGACACCAATATGATTGGCCCAGATGATAAGTGCATTTGACAAATATTTGACAAATACGTCATTCCTTCATTTCTCAGATATGTCGTTAATAATCTTTCGATTTAACCTTCCTATCAGAAGAGATAATAAAATTATTTAAAAACTTTTTTTATCGTATTATAATCTTAAATAAATAATTTTTATTTTCAAGAAATTAATCTCGAATAATTTATTTGGTATCCTTGACGATAAAAAAATTCAAAATTGTTCTTAAAACAATTAATTTTTATATAAGAATGAAACAGCACATGTTTTTAATTGGCAAGCTTATTTCTCCCTTTTAAAGTTTCTCTTTATAACAGCCAATTTAAGTGTCCTATGAGATGAAAAAAATCAACTCTCTTTCCGCTATGGATCTTCTTGCACGCGCTTTTCCTGGTATACTTTTCTTACCATCTACCTGTTTCCGATCAGACGTGAACAGGAAAACGAGAGAGCCTCGTGTTTCCATTTGCCGAGAACGCCTGCGCGCTACTTGTATTGATCAAACTACGAGAACATTCAGTTCGGTTCGACCCATCGAACCAGACAGATCTGCGAATCCAAAATACGATTACGACACACTTGTATCGATACTGAGCTGTGATCGAATGTCTTTTATCAGATCAGTTTGTCGATCTTACGATCAGGATATTCGTATATCCTGTATCTTTATTTTCCTTTCTCTCTTTTTAGAGAAATAGTTTTGTCTAGTTTTTACAGTAAAAACATAATTTTAGATACAAATTCAAAAAATGTGATTTCCTCTTTTCTATTTTTATTTTATTCTAATAAAAAAATATAATAACTAATTATATGAATAAAAAATATCATATAATAGAAACTAACTGTTTGACTTAAAATTTGACTTTTGAGAACATCTGTTGATGATAATTAATTTATATGTAAGAATTACATATTATTAATTTGACCAAAAATATTCTGACAGATGACTATCGTAAATTAAACTGATAAATAATTTGGAGAATATTTTAAAAATAATTCTAATTTTTTTAATTAAATATCTGCCATTATCACAAATAAATTTTTGGCAAACGGTTCTCGCAGATTAAATTTCTTAATTTTTTTTGGATTAGTTCATGAGATATTCGTGTATATAAATAATTTGTTAGTTTACATCCAATATATACACTAATTCGACATATACGCTATGAATATATAGTTAATGCATTCGATAAATAATTTACGCTCAATAATATTGCATTTTGTATTGCATTCCAATTAAATTAGCAATATAATTCTAAAAGATTATTTTTATACAATTCTTTGCAAAACCGAACATTCTTATTTATTTGCCGCATATTTAACTTCAAATATAATTGCGTAACTTACAATTTTATTAATTGATTAATATATCGTGTACATTTATACATATATAACATTCAATCGGTAATATAACGTTTATAATGTTCAGTTAATATTTAAGTTCTAAATGCAAACATGTATTGTGTTGCTTATCTTAAGCAATAGACGATTTCATCTGTGAGAATAAATCTTTATGTACTCTTCTAAACTGCAATGCTAATTCTATGACACAAAATGTTAAATTAATTTTAACATTAGAAGATGTGATGACTACTTTCTATGCTCAGCCATTTTCTATAACATCCTAAAAATTTCTTTTATATAATATTATAAAAACAGCGATAAGAAAAATAATTATTATTTAATAATTTTTTAAATTATAACATAACAATATCTTTGTCAACAACTAAAGAAAAAAAAGAATTAAAAAAGTTAAGACTTGCTCTGCTATAAAAATACTTTGACATTGTTAGAGCTAAGCACTAATCGCAAAGAGGCGTGGACAAAGAATGCAATGAAAGATGTAGAAAAAAAATTCATTCTGATGCTGTCTGTCTAAAGGCGAGCAAAACAAATATCTCAAAAGAATTTTAATTGCTTCCTGTTCATTAGAGATTTTCTGGGATCGCTCGTGGCTACACATGATTGCTACCGCGACGACGTAACTCAATCCCGATTACTTACTGGGAAAATGCGGTCGTCGTGAGCGCAACATCGTCGACGTCCGCGGAATCCGCATCGAATGACTCTCGAATGTGAAATACCATTACGCACACATCACGATAGAGCGATCATCCCTTATGGCGGAGATATTCGAATAGAGATTTCAGAGGTACGTATCGTTAAATAATCCATCGACTTTCATCCATGCACCGAATTTTAAGAAACAATTTATACAACCAATTTTTATTCTCGCAAATTTCTTATCTTGTTGTAATAGGCTTTATATAATAGGCAAAGATGAGATTTTCGGAAAAATTCTGACAAGCTATTTCATATTATTTGTAAGATCACAAAGTTTGTTATTTGGCTTTACAATGAAATTAGTTCGTGCATTATATTTTACAATGAAAGTTATTCAAATAAGGAGTTTTCGCAAACATTCCGAGCTGTTACATATTTCACATAATTTGCAAGATTAAGCGAGATAACACTCTCAGTTTGTTATTTGACTTTGAAATTAGATTGCGCCATTAGGCTTTACCAAAATATTCAAATGTGGAATTTTTGGAAAAATTCGAAGCTGTTAAATATTCTACATTAATTTACAAGATCAAACAAGATTATGTTTTAAATTAGTTATTTTGAAACAATACACTAATAATCTTGAAAAAACCAGATAATTTTATTTCTTTCTAATATACGATGTTAGCTGGCAAAATTTATTGTCACAAGGATTATACGTGATAAAAAAAAAATAGAAATAAAATATTATATGTGATAACAAGAAAAAGGTAGAGATAAATTTGAGACTTAATTTCGCTACGTTTCTTATCATTAGGAAAAAAACTGCGTTTCTCGTTTCTATGATAAAGATTTCGTTATCAAGTAAAATTTATCCGGTTATACTTGCGTTCTAAAATTAGTCGCAAATCTGTTTTCTCCTGCGCGTCCTACTTGGAAATTATCCCTCTCTAATATCCGCGCGGGAAGTTATTAATGTGAGACGGACTTGGATATACGAAGAATACGTAGGAGCGCGCAATATATCGTCAATAATAAACCCGGCACAAGGACAACATTTGAATCATGTTTAATTTTCTCGTAATCTCTAAAACCGCCATCGACATGACGTGCTTATTAATCGTCGTCCGCCGCGTAATTAAATACAAATTCACTCTCCCAGTAAATTCACGTCTTACAAATCAAACAGCTTGTACCATCTAAAATACCATTATGCAAATATATTGCTATTATATCGCACCTGAGAACATTTATTATCTTTAGAAGATGATAACCCTACCCTTGAAATTATATTCAAATATTTTTTATCAGAGATTTCTCGCAACATTCTTTATGTTTCTTCTCTCCTATTCTTTTTTATTTTTAATATAAACACAAGCGAACATACATATTACACCTCATTATGTTAAATTGAAATTGCTCAAAATACAAAAGGATTTATTTAGCACTTTCAATGAATTTTAATGACTTCGAAACCTTGAAATGTTATAACGTTGCTTTAATCGGAAATTGAAGGAAATTCGTTTTTTTTTGCAACTACTAAATTTCCAGATTTTTTTCATTCCACGACTGTCAAACTTCAATCTAACTTAGAAACCTATTTAAGTGAGGAATTACTCTTATCAACGTTTTGCAAAATCATTTTCAAGTAATTCTCAAGAGCAATATGTCGTTGGTAAAATTACTGTATTAAGCTATTAAAACAAAATTCTCCGAATTTTATAGAAGATCTATTAACTGATAAGAATATAGTGTTTCTTTACCAATTATCGTATTATATTTATATCAAACTTGTAACATATTCTATTGAAAATAGCATAGTATAATAACATTACATGTTTAAAATATATAAATATGTAATAAAAATTAAATATATATATATATATATATATATACATATATGTATATACAGGATGTAACTGAAATAATTAGGTAACAAACTTTGGCGGCGAGCTTCTCACACCAAAACATAAAAAAAGTTCAATTTTTAATTACAACAAATGTTTAAAAACTGCAAATAAATAATATTATTATAATAAATATTTTTTTTTATTTTCCATTAACAAACATTTTGAGCTGTAACTCAGCAACAATGGATTTGCGGACATATGTTCATATGAACTTTTTTTCATGTTTTGGTGTGGGGAGCTCAACCCAGAAATTTGTTATCTTACCTCAGTTACACCCTGTATACAATATATTCTGAAACAAAGAGAGAGGGAGAAAGAGAGAAAATCGACACGAACGTGCCAGAATGAATGTTCTCCCGCAGCTTCATTAACAGTTTCCACAAGATGACCCCGTGGGTTCTCGTAACGCCACGTAAACAGTATTCAATGCGAGTACCTACCTGGAAATTGTATTTGTCGTCGGGGGAAATTGCTGGCACCTCGAGTATCCGAAATTCGCCAACGAGCACGAGATTGAAATTCTCACTCCGGCCGCCACACCGCTCCTCGTCGCCGTCGTCATCGTCGTCGTCCTTCGAACCGCAGCACCGGCCGCAGTGTTATAATTATCCGATTCGATCGATGCGAGGACGAGGGACGCAGGGGAATAAACAGCAGAGACCTGGGTCGAGAGGGATAATTACGAGTTAATCGGGAAAAATTTGTACGGCAATGATAATATGCGCGGCAAATGGAAATTCGAATAAACGGCCGGCTTTGTACGGAAGCGACTGCCGCTTTATTTGCACCAGAACGACACGACAAATGGTCCGAAAAATTGATAAACCGCCAAGCGAAGAGCTGAATACAAAGCAACCTGGAAAAATACTGTAACTGCATGGCGTATTCAGCTTTTAACCATCGAATATTTTCCATGTAATCCTTTTAGCGCACTTGTGTTTTAATCATTTATTTAAATCCTTCCTTTTCGTTATTGCTTGCATATTGTCAAAGTTTATATTTATCATTTTTCACTTTGTATTTTCACATTTCATCTGTATAAATTCAAAAAGCTTGAAGATTTTGGGAATTAAAATTTTATTTTTAAGTTACTTTATTTAATATCAGTACACATATATAGTGTATATACATATTATACATACATATATATATATATATATATATATATATAATCTATTTAAAAAGTCTTATATATAATATATGTCTCTCCGTTAATAGAAAAGTGACACAAGTATAAAATTAGTATTTTTACGATAATAATAATAAAAAATTGACATTAATAAATTTGTGGAAAAAGACGCATTTATAGTTCTCATGCTTACATAGAAAAGTTCTAATAAGAGATAAAATTTGCACATTATACTAGCAGTGTTCAAATTTTGAAAACTCATAGTTTTAAAGAATACATTATTGAACATAAAAAGAAAGTAAAGTTCGCCATCTAAGCATATTTAAAATGTTTTAATTTAACTTAAAAAATGTTCTACATTTAAAAGTTATTAATTGTAAGATCACTCTTCTATTAATGAAACAATATATGTAAGATTCTAAATAGGTTTATTGCATAAATAGATTTATATTATATCTGTATTTAATTTTTTTCTTAAGAAAAATAAGAAGTTGTAATTAAATTCGTATGTATCACAAAAATATGTGATGCTGAAGGCTATTTCCGCGGAAAGAATTTTTTTAATATATCACGAAATTGCTGCTTACAATTTTTATTCACGCAGCTTTGAATTACAATATAACAATACATTATAAAATCGACGAACAGATTACGGATGTCGAAGAAATGCGATTGATTACTATCACTACGTTAACTGGCATGCGCTACTTCTCGCGCTCGACATTTTATTCGCCACTCAGAGTGTTTGATTCACTTTCATCATGCAACAAACCCAATACACAAAACGACAATCTACTGTCGAGAACGAAGATATTTAATTGGCGAAACATCAAGGTTTTTAATTGACTGGGCTTGCGGTTTGTTCGTTTTGGAAATTGTACAGTATTTTTTTGTTTTAATTCCTATTGGTGCACACTTTTAGATGAAGGTCAAATTACAGATCGATTTTTCACCCTGGGCAAAAACATTACGTAGTATATACAGCTTAATATATTTTGCGATTCGCACAAATCGCCCACTTTTCACTTAAAAATACTCGTTTCCGTCTGAAGCTATGTTTAGACCTGACATTTATCGCATGACATTTCTCATTAGCGTTCTTTCACTTTAACATAAAGCCGGACAGAAATTCTTCTGTTTGCGTTTATATTATATATTTATACTGCTGTCTCTGACACACGTGTCTATCTGATAAATATAATATAATAAACATAGTATTAAGAATACAAAATATCACGTAACCAATAATAATAATAATAATAATACATCTATTATTTTATGAATTGAATAATATAACATGTCTTATTATTAAAATAATATTATTATGTATTGTTGCATATCTTAATAATATTACATAAAATGTTGATATTTAATGTATCGTTACATACCATAAATTATAAAGAAAATAATAAAATTTTTAAATACCGACTTATTTACGTATATTTTATTTAATTTTATAATATTATTTATTAGATAAAAACTTTAGGGTTACATTATCTATTTTTCTAACCTATGTTTATAACATAATGAGAAATTTGCAAAATATATTAATCATCGGAAGCGCAAAATAATATTAGATATTTAACATTAATATCACACATGCCAATAACAAATGTAATATAAAAATATTTTAAAAAAAATTGTCTTATTCAAAAGATATCCATTAAATTACAAATTACAAAGCTATACATATTTGACATTTTTACTTTTTGTATTGATTATATTATATTGTTATTATATTTTCGAATAAATCTGTAATATAAGCATTTATGCAAGATTTTGGTGAATTATATAATCCGTAATTGTTATCACATTACTGCATAGCGTTGTAATTATGCACAATTTGTATGATTAATATAAATCCTGCATACTTGTTATGATATAAATCTCGATAATGATGTAAGAGACATGACAAAACGTGAATTCGTATTATACGTAATAATATGTCCCAATTATTAATCAATGTTGATGGAGTCAACTTTCAATCTATATTTAGATTGACGCTTAAAACAGGAAACGCTTAAGACACCCGCTTCACTAAGAAAACTCAATAAAATCGATGAGAAGATTTTAGTGGGCGGTGTTAGATGTGAATTAAATAAATATCTTATTTTGAAAAAAGACGCTATTAAAATCCGTATCAGACTATGCATTGAAGATTGAAGACTGCGAATTAGAAATTAAAATTTAATTAATTAGAACGAGAAACGAACAAGATTAAATTATTTGATTGGTTAAAATCTAATCTTCAATTTTCAATCCTCAATCTCTAATGTGTAGTCTGATACGAGGTTAACATATTGCATCTATGCAATGCACGTCGCATCCTGTTTCTCTTTTTAACTTGCTCGAATGCTAAACTTTCTTTAAATCAAGTTAGCGCTTGGAATAGTACATTTTATTATAGTTCGAATTAATCAGTTTTTATGTGTATTTACAAAAAGCATAATAAATATAAAATAATAAAAATTTTAAAAAATATAATTTAATGGTAAAATACAGAATCACATCGCGAATATTATTATCTGATATTTTTAACATCTTACAAAACTGCAATATTTGATTCTCGCGCCCCTCGTAAATATTTCCTTTTGTATATAATTTAGATAAAATAAATTAAAATATTATAATATTTTCTATGTTTCATAAATATTTAATTATAATTATATCTTTTTGTCTTGCAATAACATTTTTTATGTATAATATGAGTTTATTAGTTTGTTTTTTGGGAAATCAATAAATTGCAATGACGCAATTTTAATAAAAAATATTATACGAAAAAATAATTATTTTGTGCTTATTTTATATGTAAGGTAATCTTTTTTAAAAACATATTAATCCTCAAACTCTATCTATGCATTGTGCATATACCGAGATATCCCGGCTCATATTTTCGCGAGAATGAACAGACACTTTTAGAACCCATACAATATTTATAGATTGCAGGCGAAAAAGAGAGATACCTGACCAATAATCGATATTTCCTGCCAGACTAACGTTATGGGTAAAATCTCGCGATAAAGAGAAACGCCCTCAACGAATTTTCTAATGGAAGACTTGGTCGCGTTTTAATCCACCCGTACCTAACCAATATATTAAAAAAAAAAAACCTTTTCAATAGCTTTTCTAAAGTTAAAAAATATATTTTAAGAATATAATATATGTCTAGTACTTATTATAATGTTAATCAATATTATTATTTTAATATTAATCAATAATGTTATAAATATTTAACATGTTTATTTTTTTTTTAAAGATCAGTTAATTATGTAGGATCTCTGTACAGTTTTAAATAATATATGACGTATTGTGCATCCATGTGTAAACACTTTTTTTTTATGTTAATTTCTGTGACGGTTGTGACCTATTTTCAAAAAATGAGACAGAATTATTTTAAATTATTACAAATTAATTTATTACTAATCTAGTTTCAAATTAAATAAGAAAGAACTGAAGTTCTTGATTACAATATATATATATTCGTTATTTGCTTTTAATTTTAGCAAGTTCCTTTTCTTATTATTTTAACCAATTTTTCATTATTATTTTATATGTGTAAAATTCATTTGTTTCTCTCTAAAATATCTCATAAACCATTTTATAAGAAAAGACTTTACAAAAAGTGTCCTCGTTCCCATTAAAATCTTTAAAATGTACAAAGTGCATATATGCAAAGCATATTTCTAAAAAATTCTTTATCTATACGTATAAGCGGTAATATTACCTTCCGTAAAAAAAATAATTTTGTTCATAGAAATTTACATATTTACATTACCGTCGCACAGAAGCAAAGAGAATGATAACAGCGAAGGTAAACAATGTCGTATATTTGCATTTTCAACGACACAATGATGAGGCGTTGTCGAAAAGAAACTCGACCTCGATTTTACTTACGTCTCGTTGATGACGCGTATTCTTTCTTTCTCCTTTTTTCTTTTCCTTCCCTTTCTCCCCCCCCCCCCTCTCTCTCACTCTCTCTCTCTCTCTCTCTCACACACTGACGGATGAAAACTCAGCAACAGATTGCTCCCCTGTGCAACGCAGCTACATCCAACGAACTGGGCGTTCGCTTCCGTGTAAGTGTGACAGTTCATTCAAACAGGCAATCGAGTTTGCATCCACCACCTTCCGGCGCTTCGTTCGTTAACGCGCAATCTCCTCGACAAGAGAACTATCGTGCAAGGAGAATCGGCTCTTCCTTCTCCCGATTGACGACGGAACGATCCCTTCTTGCTGCGATTAATTTGATATGTTGCATGTTGCAACCAATACGATTTTTCCCGATATTCCGATATTCCGTTAGACTTATTGTTAGTAAAAATTTATGTATTACTTCGCCATCAAAAGTTTCAAAGAGAATAACAGAAATATCATATCATGGAAGAACAACCCTATCTTTTTAGCCCTATATCTTTTGCTCAAATACGCAAGATTTATATGTAAATTAAATTTATTTGTCTTTTAAATGGCACATAAATTCAAATTTGAAGAATTCTATTTTATAATCTGAAATAATAAAAAATTCATAATTAATTTTGCAAAAATTAATTTCTTATCGCTTTAGAAAATTATATAGGTCGCACGGTGTTACTGCAAATTGAACGTGTATTTGGATATGAGCGTGTATGTGTTAACGCTTAACTCTTTTAATATCGAAAAGTAATTTCATTATCTCAATTTTTAGGTTTTAATCCCAAGCAGCTAATTTGATCTCATAGATTACCTACACACTTATATATTTCAATAATATGAAAATTATTTACTTTGTGTTAATTCACACAAGGTTGAAAAACTATGGTACTTTGAAGTAACATTATTATCTTTCTCCATAATGGAAAGCTTAAAGGGACACGTTCGCTACAATTTCTGTCGGATTTCAATAAGTCTCGAATATGTTGTAACTCAAAATAAAAAGTACACGTATGTCCTTTACACGCTTTTCATTGCAGATTTGGAGACTTTCTTCGAAAATAACTGGGAAGTAACATATTTCCGGTTTTATATTTAATATATTTCAATTCGATATTGCTGAATATTGCCGAATGCATAAAATATATATATGATAAAAAATCTCGAATACGAATTTTAGTATTAAAAATAGTTTATAATCGCGCATTTACATTTTCTGTAAAGGAAAATGGAAATTACGTAATATTCTACATTTTTCATACTCTGTAAGAGTATGGTTATGAGACATGCTATTAATATTATAAGAGTTTCATTTAAAAATGAATATACCTTTTCTGTTTAAAGTTTTATATACCTTGTCATATATTCGCTGTACTAATTAGAATCAAATCAAGTTTTAATTTAGAAATAAATTTTAATTTAAATATAAGTCATGTATTTTGAACACTACGATCAAAAAATATTATATGTACACTAATTGTAAAAGAAAACAAATCTAGTAGCATTTTTCAAGAAAAATAAAAATCCGATTGCGTCATACAGTAAATTTCTACTGTGATATCTTGAAAATTTAATATCGTACCATAATATCCATTAGAAAAATAACTTAAAAATATAACTGTTTACCGCATGTTGTTGACTGTGCTTTGTAAATTCAGCCATGATTTACCTCTCGAACATTTATATGATCGTATATTACGTGTAACTTTTTGTTCCTGCTTGCTTGACCTGAATTTGAAGAGAAAAAGCAGCGGAGAGAGCTGTGTATAGTGTAAAGACTTCGGAAAATATCAAAGATCACGAGAAACATGGATCGAGGATCATCATAATCAGGCTCATTCTCGTACCATCTCAATCTTTTATTTCTCCTCTTTTTGCTTAGACATATGTATATACATGTACAATAATTTCATATCGTCACAGTCTTACACGCTACCTAACACCGTTCTGTTTTCTACTCGTTGAATCCTTTTCAATGAATTCTCGAATACAGGAATCAAACGTTTTCACGATGCGCGTTGCAATTTCTGGTCGGACTATTTCTCAAACCGCATGCAATGTACTTAACAAAAATTCGTATGAATAAATATAAGTATTAAGTACGAATTTTATTTTAAATAATATATAAATGTATTTTATACATTTCTAGACTCGTTTGGTCAAGATGTGTGTGTCTTCTAAACGGATAAAAAAAAACTTTAACAAATCATTTCGTTACTATGGATAGTAAAAATGTTTTTTAGTATGTCATAGTTATAATTTGAAAAATGATCCGATCACATCATCAACTATATTATTTTCCTACTGATTTTCCTATATTTCCTAATATATCTTACAAATAAATTTTGGAATGCCAACATTAAATTCTAACTTCGGTGATACTTACAGAAACTTTACATCAAAGAAAGAAGTTTGGCGGAGCTCACGAGAAGCTTATTCGATTAAAAATTACTAAGTGAAAATTTAATCACGCGAAATTCGAATTCCATCAAATAACTAAACTTTCTAAAATAGAACAAAGATTGGAATTGAATTAAAGAGAGTACTCGATAGAATGTAGTTATTTCTCAATTACCAAAAGTTATGATAAAAAACAAAAATTTTAATGGTCCAGGAATTTCGATGAAATTCGAATACTTTAAAATTCGATAGAAATCAAAAAATTGAGTTCTATCAAATTTATTCGCTCGAGACTCGCTTTTCTTCGCAGCGAGTTATAATACTGTTTTTAGTTTACGAAGTAGAGCCTCTGTATCACGAATCTTAATCGGCATTCTTATCGTCGATCTCAATTTTCTATCGTTCCTCACGCACACATAATATATCACTAAATAAATAAACATATTGCGTATACTTGGATATGTAAAGACAATTTAAACTAACTAACTTTTGATACTAACAACAAAAGTGCATTTTATACAATATTTGCACATATAAATACAATTTTGGTCCAAATCAGAATATAAGTAATCACAAAAATATTAATATATATTCTAATGTTTCTAAAAATTTAATATCTAGAAATAATTTCTAAGAATTTAATATATTAACTCTTAAGTAAACTTTTAAGTGAATAAAATATAAAATGTTTTAACATGCCTTTTCACATTTGTTCCGCAAAATTATTTTTATCGCTCCCAGTATTTTAAAAATGAATACAAGAATCAGAAAATACAATTCAGTTCTATTTGACATTATAAAGACGAAGGAGTATAGTAGTCTAAAATCAGTCATTGATTTTAATAACCTCGAAATGAGATATCAATAATGAATAATCCAATGTGCTGTATTTGTCGCATGAATATTTATTTGGGCCCAATTTTACATATTTGCTCATCCGTGCAAATAATTTAGTTGTAAATTAACATGTAACTTCGTCAAATAAAATCAAAAAATTTTTAATAAATTACGTTAGAAATATCGAATATTAATTTATAAAAAGCAAATGTTTGAATGATATATATTGTTGGTAAAGATTTAAATTTGTATTATAAAGTAAATTGAAATTTACAGTCATTCTACGTGAGACTTTTTTGCATTAACGTGCAATATCCGTCTACTATCTTACAAGTTTGATTTACCTGAATGTCTTTATTTGTACAGAGTAAATGGAAGTAGGCGATTTACTAATTGTAATCGCGTAACGATTACGATGCCATTACCGCTCCACATTAATCAATAGAATCTCCCATCAGCAAGATTTGACGCATTGCTCAACGCAATAGTCATCAATCGTGATCAATTGCAGATCATATCTGAAAGCTGATATATATCTCACAAGACACAAGACTTGGAAAACGTCGTTCACTCGTTTCACGTGTGTTAGGTAATAATAACGTTTTCTCTTAATACGGAACGCTGTCTTCCAAATTTTAACAATCAGCAATCGGTTTTACGTGATGAAATGTCTCAATTGCGAAAAATTAAAGACAAGCTGTGCAATGTAGGCAAATTAAATTTTCTCAAACGCACATTAGGCTATCATGTCTATTCTCAATTGTATACGTATATGTATAACACCTCGTGTTGACACGCATAACTCGTACGTAACCCGAACGTATAACGTCATTATAAATCAATCCATTGCGGATGCGTTCATCGAACAGCAAACCATGCACTAACAATAACAGCCATGATTTGCATCATTGCTCCGAAATTTGTTTCTTTTATTTTCGGATTACCGCAGCGCGTATCGAAATTACAAAGGGCAAGCAACCAACCGTGAATTTTCATCTTGATATTTTCGTAGCAATAAATCTTTCGCGAATATATAATTTTGATTCTGCTAACAAGTTATGAAAGTTAAGTGCATTTAAAGTTGAGAGATAACTCTATACTTATTGTGATTCTACACATTTATCAATCGCCATAATAATAATAAGTGTCATAATGATAAGAATATATGAGACATTGCTACGATACAAGATTTATTATCTCCATTATTTTTAAGAAAATCTTCGACGCGTTGTACGCTTTCTATGATAACGAGAAGCTAACGCGAAACTCGATATCTGCCTCTCGTCTGTTCAACGCCGTCGGCACTCTTTGGAACAATCGTTAAACATTGTCCGTTACATGATAACCTGTTGCGACAGGATTATAATCGCGATAAATTTCTCGGTTCTTTCTCAATCATTTCAAATATGCAAACGATTATTAATAATATTAATAAGTAGATGAATAAACGATATTACAACGTAAAGTAATTGGAAAATCTGAAATGAAAATCTGCTACTTTATATTAAGTAGTTCTACAGGATAATAAAAAAGCGAATATAACTATAATATAACTTAAACTTCAAACACAAGCGTGTAAAGAAATATCGATTAAAAAGTAATAATAAGAAAGCATTGGTATGAAATTAAAAGTATATAAAGTATAAAGATCGATTCTTTATGGTTCGTCAATTCTTTTTTCATTTGAAAAATTTCTAACTTTTTTCAAATACATTCCGTAAAACACAATAGTGCATAGCAAGAAGGAAAAAATATCTCAATTATCTGATGTTTTCACACGTACACTGATTTACGATGTGGAATTCGTTGCAAATTTATAACAACACTTTGCTTTCATCGTGTTCCGATATTTCCGCATGTCAACAGATCGAAAGTTATGAATTGCTTGTCGCATTTACGTTCTGTTTTACAGAGAAAAGAATTTAAGACGAAGAAGGAAAGCATTTGACTCGATTTTTTTTAAAGAAATTGACAAAAAGTCATTAGAAGAGAGCATGTATCTTCGAACGTCCCGTCTTTCGAATAGCACGTTTAACATTGTGTCGAGTTGTAAGTACACGCATTCGACATGCCGCTCCGCCCATCGAGGGGGATGGTGCTAGTCACCTATTTAAGCCGATAATTTATACAGAAACGATAATTCACTAAATATTGGAAAGTCGGTATCTACATCATTCCCGTCGCCCGTTCTTTTCACCGGTGTATTTTCTACTTTTAAAAGAAAAGATTCGATTCTAGTGTACCGCTAACTACTTGGTCCGACTAGCGATCAGTAGTAACTACTCGGTCTGACCGTCATCTAGCAGTGTACTACTCGGCCCGACCATTTACCAATACCAACTACTCGGCGTACTAGCACCGGAGACTTTCTTTAAATAATGGTCTCAGTTATCAGACGATAATTGAAATTCTTCATCACCTTTAATTTCCTCTCCCGTCAGACGCGAATGAAAAACACGCAAACGTTATTACGTCAGTCGTTCAATCTGATTTTAAATAGCAGCCGATACTTGTGTCTCTGCACACGTCAGCGTACGTTTTGCATTTACGTATTTCCTTACATTTTCTCTCGTCCGTTGCATCCAGCGAGCATTTATCGCCGACGTATATGACACTGTTACCTCTTTAAGTGGCCAAGTCGCGTTCATTCGCAGATATTTCAACATCATCCGTGTCCCTTCCAACCCGATCTGCTTTTCTTGTGCACGTTTCATTCACCATCTTACTTGGCGTCCACCGGCAATGAAAAACGCCCGATATTGGCGTCTTTCATCTCGTGGATTTACGCGAGACCGCTTTTTAATAAACGTTCCTCCCTCGCGACGGCGACCCCCGATAGGAGCACGTCGGATTTTTGTCGGAAATGGCAATTTTCTTACTGCCGTCGGCACAGTTCGCGATTACGGAAGATCTCAGCACGCCGCGTTCGGAAAAGTCTTAGATACTATTTGTACAGTTGTAGATCAAACTCATTTACAGTTGAATATATCTAGTTACACATAAAAAACATACGATCACGAATTTAACGAAATGTCTTTGGTTTCAACATGATTGTTATCATTTCCCGGATTGTTACCGTTCGACATTGACTAATATCAAGTTCGACGTTGATGCTCATAATTCTTCATGTTGCTTATCTTGATACGAATAATGGTATTCGCTAGTCCGACGTGGTCACGCTCGATGAGCTCGACGGTTGTCCTTAATACAGAAATCCAATTCCTCGTTATTTCAGCGCTGTCAATGTTTTAGACGAGGGTTCTATCGAAAGACGACAGTTCTCGGATATCTATCTTCGTCGTGTCTTATCCGTTTTTCTCATTCTGGATAAAAGAATCGATTAAAGTGAGAAAAAAAATTTCGAGATATATAACGTTGGAATTGTCGAACGTCGAAGTGTCCCAAATTCCATTTATATCAACGTTGATTGATAGTGATTACTTTGGGAAATTTTCTTACGAGGCGATATTAATTAAGAACTTCGCGAAACGATCGTCGACGACGCTTTCGTACGAACTCCTGGTTAAACTTGATATTGCGTATCATACTTCATTATCATGAATTACGCTATAAACGAGAGTTCCGTATTTATCGTGTTATTCGCTCCCATATTAGACACACGTGTTTTCGCGAATGTTTCCACTTCCACGTCTGAATCGTCGTTTCGAATAATTGAAGAAGTCTTTTTTCGCGGCAGCTGCGTGCAGTTACTTTTGCAGCCTCGTACTTTTGCAAGATACGAGCCGTCGACGACGGGCTTAGCCAAAGTACACCTTTCTCGAAAGCGAAACTCTTTAATCGCGCACGAAGACGAACTCGTTATAATGATTCCAACGATTCTCCTCGGAATCCACTCCGGGCTTCAGTTGCTCGGAGTTGCTCCCGGCGGTGCCGGAGCCGCAGCTACCCGCCAGTCTGAAGCCCTGCTCCTGCAGCATGTCGAAGGCCTGTTCGATGACGCTGTGCTTCAGAAAAAAGCGTGACGTGTAGCGATCGGACATGCCGTGGTCGGGATCGCGACTTTCGTTCAGCGTTTCGCCAAACACGTCCCGGCAGATCGCCACGCGGCCGCACACGAGGATCCTCGAGAGCTTGCGGAACTTGACGTCGGCCAGGCCCTCGCGGCCGAAGGCAAAGCTGCCCCGATAACCGATGGTGATGTATCCTGGCGTGCGTTTGCCAATCGCGCCGCCGGAATCTGCATTCTCCAAAATTGCCTTCTCCAAACCGGGTAGACCGTAGAAATTCGCCTCCTGTTTGAGTCTTTCGCGTTCGCGAAAGCCCTCGGGTAAAACCAGCGCCTGATTGCGTAGAAAGTCCAATACGTAACGGAAGAGCACGCCGTCGCGATCCAGAAAGTATTTGCCCTTGGCGTCCTTTTCCACAGCGGACTTGCCAGTGAAGAGTGCCGCCAGGTGCGAGTTGCTCTCGCGGGTCAGTGTAGTCAAAGCAGTGGTGTAGAAGACGCCGCCCACGTTCAACTCTACCACGCTTGGCATCGTTTCCTGTTGCTCCTGGTCCCCCATGCTGCGATTGGCGCGACGTAAGAGAGGGAGAGTGAGAGAGAGAGAGAGAGAGAGAGAACAAGAGAAAAAATGATAGCAGCTGGTCGCGTGGACCGATGAAGCAATTCGTCGACACCGACGGAATCGATCACAAACGGAAAATTCACAGCTGAGAAATTCCCAGGGGGATTAAAGGATAACAAAGGATCACGACACGGAACTGCACTTGGTTCGGTAGAACGCTACGCGACACTCGCGCAGGACGACGAGAGGCAGGAAGACCACAGGTCGACGACCTAGGAAATCCCAGAGTCGATCGTGACACGCTAGCGCGGAAGATCGCTCTTCAGAAATTTTGACGGCTGACAAGGAGGAACGGACTCCTATAATCAACTCGTATTCGCACGTGACGACACTTTCGGTGATGCTTGCTGAAAAGCCGGGCTATTCGTCTGATCTCGCTCCAGCACGTTACTAGTCGATTCGCGAGCACAAATTAATATCTGGCTACTCGCAGAGGAAGGTGACCGTAACGGCGAGGAGCGACAAACTGCGCCTACGTCGGTGCGACGACGAAGACCGAGCTTGACCCTCGCTCTCGGGTCTCTTGGCTCTGCGCGCTTCCTCGCTTAGGTGGTTGGCGCGCGCGGTCAGGACGCACTCTCCGCTCGCTCTTCCGTGTCGCGAGGGTAACGCGGCCGTAATGCTGCTCTGCCGGCGCAGCGAGAACGCGCGCCGTGTCAACGCGCAGCCACCGATATCGCGCGACAACGCGCGCGCGCCCCTCCAGGAGTCACCATTCGATTCTCGCCCTCGGAAGAGACTACGCGTCACGATCAGGCCTCCTCTAGAGTGCGCTTACCTCCAGCCTACCCTGGCTAACGCTGATGGTTTATCTCAATCACGCCAGCTAAATCTTTCGCGACTTCGTCCGACGTATCCCGACATTGCGAATTCTGCCGTAATCTAGGTTACTCCGGCTTATTTCGTCATGCTCCAGTAAACTGACGCAACTCAAGCTAGAGCTTAACCCTCCCCCAAATTGCGAAATTCGTAATCTTTGTAATTTAAATTTTTTCCGGAAGAGAATCACAAGCTACAAATGTGATAAAAAAAATTTAATATACTTTTTATTTAAAAAAATTGATGACCTCGTAGATTTCGACACGTCGATACTTTGTTCCGTTATAACATAGGTTTATATTGCATTGTATCTCTCATCCGTTCGATATCTATCTACAAATTGAACGTAACAATGTCAATATGCAAAGCGATTAACGTTATCATGTAGACAGCTGTACATTGTTGACGTAAGTGCATGCTCGTTTTATTCTGGTTGTTACTCTTCAAATATCATATTAATAGATTGATTACAACAGACAACGAAGTTTAAAAAAAAACAAATAACGTTCCTTAACAAACTCGTTTCGCTGTTAACGGTAGATCTAAATTTTTTTTGTAAATTAAAAGAAAAAATATTGGCTCCTATTTTTAAGAAAATGTAAATATAATTAAAAACAAATAGGACAACATATGTTAATAAATGCTATCACAAATATACTTTGTTGACTTCTTTCTCGATTTTCATGAAGTAAAACATATATGCTTAATCTTATTATATTCTAAACAGCTTCAAATAAAAACAATTTTCAATATTGATATTGTAAAAACATCAAACTCGTTATTTTTGTGATAAATATCATATTAGGAAAAAAATATTCTTTCGAGATAATATAAAACTAAATGTAATTTATGTAAATTAGAAATTATTTTAAAATATTTTCTATTCATACAATGTTTGTTCGTTTACTCTTTCATACTTTTGGACCATTAAATGGATCCATTAGACTACATATTAAACGGATCCAAAAGATTATGTATTCGTCTTGCCAACAAATTTTAATTTTTTTCTGTAATATAACACTTATCTATACCTCAAACGAGATTAAAAATAAACGAATAGAAAGCCTTGAGAAATTGCGTGCGAGTGAGTGTGCGTGTTCGCACGTATATGTGAGTAATCAAACTGTAATATAAAACATAAACCTTTATTTCGTTACGCTACTTTTATTTTATTATAATATCATATTTTCCTGGAAAAATATTATTTCTTAAAAAAAATGTATATAATGAAATGTATAAATTTTCAAGACAACTTATGTCAAGTCTCAAGATATCTACAACGTAACTTTTCCGCTGTAAGTGATGAGAAATGAATCATCTTTCAAAAGAAACCTCAAAATTTTTTATTAAAAAAAATACTCTTCTCATAGCCTAATTCCCTTTCATTCAAAGCCATACAATCACCATCCAGTAAATCAAATCAATTATTGAAAGGCAATACTCTCCTATCTGTAATTAATTTGCACAATTCTTCGATTGCAAAGTAGATTAAATTGAAATTAAAAGAAGCATTAGAAACAATGCGAATAAATTGAAGCAAGTAATTTATATTCAGCGTTATAGGTCTTCACTAACAACGAAAGAATAAAAATATCTAGATAAAAAAAAATTTTACATTGAGAGAAAAAATATCTTGATAGAAAAAAATTGTACAATAAAATAATTTATTCAATAATCGGGCTTTTTGATAGTTTATTTACTTGCATTTTATAAAATTTCATGTTGTAAAATTGTTAAATTAAAATATTCATTTATGTTTAAATATATAAAGAAAATTGTTATACGTTACGAAACATATATACAGAATGTCCGAAAACTCGCCCGCACTAATACTTCTTGAAGTGATTCGGGACCCAAAAAGAAGGAAAGAAAGCTATATATAAATATATAGGTCCAAAAATAAGTTGTTTCTGAATTATAGCCACTTTTATATTAAAGAAATCGTAATTTATTTTTCATAATTATAATTTGTTACAATTATTATTACAATTTATTATGATTATTATTATTACGATTCCTTTACATAAAAATGGCCATAACTCGGAATCAACTCATTTCCGGACCTATGTTGATTTAGTTTCTTTTTCCTTCTTTTAGATAAAATTTTTTATATTTTAATAAAAGAAATATGTACTTTATATTAGAAATGATGTTTCAATTGCAAAAAAATTTTTCCAAAGAAAAAATAAAATAATATTTATTAATATGATTTAATAAATTGTCTAGAATAACAAAATAATTGTTTAAACACAATAATTTTTTTACGACTAACGTTTTTGTAATTAACATTTTTAGTCCTAATAAAGATTTTATTATGTTTGTGATTAACATTTTTAGTCATAGTAAAGATTTTATTACGTAAATTCAAGAAATGTAATGAAGAATCAAATATATTTACTACCAAGAAAAAACGAAACATATTTTGAAGTATTATTTTGAAGAATCTACTATATACGTATTTTCAACAACAAGAATCTTCCAGGAATTATAAGATTCCTAAATTAATATAGTTTTTTGTTACAGGACTAAAAAAAAAATGATATCATAATACATCTCTAATTTTTACTTTAAACCTGATTTTTTGGAAACATTCAAAAAATTATTTTATAAAAATATCGATAAAAAATACTGAGCTTTTAATATTAATATTATTAATAATGTTATTAAGAAAAATAGCGCGTTATAACGATTAAATAACCCGCGCAAGCGCTACCATGATGACATCATAAAGAAGACCGCACTAAATTCAATACCAAACTGGAACGCGCAAGCTTTTATTTTGTCCCAGTCAAGGCCCATGCAAGTGCGATAGTTAGCTAAGGACAGACTTTCTTTATCTAACCAAGATACGTTGATCACCTATCTGACATACTATCAATTCTAAAAACATTAATTTTTGCAAAGATATTTTTAACTTTAAAATTGAATTCTTAATAAAGTACGAGAAATTTTAGAAACAAAAAATTTACTTTTGTTTAAAAATATTCAATTCATAAAAATATCTTTTGTACATACACATGTATACGTGTATAAATAAAAAATGTTTAATAAATTGTACATTTGAGCAAATTATATTTTTTCAAAGATACAAATTCATTAAAAAAATTAATATACTGTTTATTTTTTGTATGGAATCACAAATATTCTGACGAAGTTGAAAGTTATTATTTGTTCTAGATAATCCCAATCCTAATAATCTCAAGCTATCTTGCAAAAATATAGTAATCTTTCTCTTTGCACAAAGGAAAATCATGCTTTAGTATCATCGTAACAATTTATAGAAGCATATTATTTATTGTAAAAATTTAAGCATATAATTTCCTCATAAATTAATTATTAAGTAATATGACAAGATAAATGTCAACAAAAGTAAAAGAATTATATTTATACTCTTATTTATTTACGTATATATTTATATATTTGTGTCTCTTTGTATATTTGTATACACTGTTAAATCTATAATATCAAATTTAACCTCATTTAAGTCGCTACTGCTCCTATTTAACAAATAGTTATTTTTAAATAAAACAATGGAATTTAACCTAAATTTGAGTTAAATTTGAACTGTTTAAAATTATTTAACTCCACAGTTTTAGCTAAAAATAACTATTTATTAAGTAGGAGCAGTGGCGACTTAACTATAAGATTAAATTTGACACTATATAAATTCAATAGTGTATTACTATATCGAATTACGCACGCATCAAATTTGATTTAAATAAAAAGTATATACTCTAACATTCACCAGTAAGAGATAGATAGATAGATAGATAGATAGATAGATAGATAGAGAGAGAGAGAGAGAGAGAGAGAGAGAGAGAGAGAGAGAGAGAGAGACAGCAACATAGGAATTACACATATAATCTGCAGTAATATACAAACATATCTAAATTAAAGCAGTATTCAAAATATTAAAGCAATAAGCAGTAATCAATATTATTTAAAAAAAAACTATATTTGTGTGTGTTGTGTTGCGCGTATTTTAAAATTATTATTCGTCTCTAGATAGATATTTAAGTAAACAATGCTAGTATGCAGGAAACAATTGCAATTACCCTTTCGAAATTACTACTGACAATGAGTTTCATTAACTTGTCCACATAAGCATGTGCAATTTGTGAAAAATATATCCATGTGAATAATATTACGGTCGCACGAAATTGTTACACATTTGCGTTGACGATTGACGTATGTACGTGACATATATTGTTAATAACGCTACTGTCACACGGAGTTTTACTTGACGGAATTATCGCATATTCACGTTCTGCCGACGCTGTTATTATATATACTGCTGTATTTAATAACAAATTTTTTAACCTATATACATATAGCACGCTTAGACATTGTAAACGCATACACGTATTTCATGCAATATGTAGGATTGAATCAAGTTGCGCTTATAGGGATCTTAAATTGGCGAAATTCGTCACTTAATGGTAATTAATAAATGATAAATAATAATTACTCCATAATTGTTGTCGCCCAACGCCTTCCGCGAGCCTCCTCCTTCGCTCCTTTCTTGTTGTTTCCCTCGATGTGAGGCTCGATCCTTCATGGCACACGCACGACATCATTCAAACACACCGTTAATTACGAACGTATGATACTCTACATGACACTATCGATGTTAATCACTCGCGAGACGCACTTTATTATGTCGCGGCGAAAGAATAACGCGGCAAAAGGTACGATTGAAATTACGCCAGTTACGGTTTGTTTACGATGCTTGCGAGCAATATGGTGAATGAAGAGAGTTCGTAAGACGCGCGGCTAACTTCACGCATCAGGAGTAACCTACCGCCGCGCCAATGCTACACCTGTTGCTCGTGGCTGCACTTTCGTGCACTTTCCGCGCATTGAAAAAAACACAGTAAATGCTCACGAATCGGTTATTTCTATTTCGTGTTCTGATATAAATAAATAACTATTAACGAATTAATCTTAAAAATAAAAACAGAAAAATAGATATTCGTGGAATGCATTGCATTATCTGCATGCATTAATTGCAATATATATATATATGTGATTGTCGTCGCTATTATTGTTGACTATATTTGCAACAAATTATAATCGGTTAAATGAATTAAATTTCGTGAAATACACGTTTTATTTATAGTAAAATACCAAATAAAAATGTTCAGTGTGACTATTGAAGTCGCAATTAAATACGATTAATTACGAGATTAATATATACGTATATTTTATTGCATTATATAAATGCGTGGATGTCTCTGCCACTCAGATTCCAGTTATTTGTCCAACCGATATTATATTTAATAATGACGAGAAAGCGTTGAAAAATAAAATTGTAGCCAACTTCAATTACCTGATACAATTGCGAGTCAGCTGTTATAATAAAGACCGCGCGATCATTTATCTAAAAATAAAACAATAATAAGTAGCTGGCTTAGTATATTATATATCATTCAAAGTATAAAAACTTTAATTAACTTTGATTTAATAATGAATAGGCCTACTGTGTTCTTTATTAGCGCGCTGAACTGCTGGCACTAGTTAAATTTATCTTTCTCTTTTTACATTGGAAAAAGAAACATAAACTCTGAACTAGTGCAGCCAGTTCAGTTATAAAGAACAGGCTCAATAATCGCGATTTTACATGATTCTTCGAACCGTCATCATTCCAATACGGATATTAAATTCAAAGAACGAGAAGTGTGATTGCGTCACGTCCTCGATATCTATCATCGCTTCCCTCCACCGCCCGCAGCCAATCAATGGCGCCGTCTCGAGCCAATGGCGCGCGGCGTCGTTCAGTCGAGTCTGAACAGTGCGAGGTGTGAGGTGCGGAGCCCGTAACCCGTTGGCTCTCCGCTCTGTTGAGTGATTTGGAGTGACTCGAGTCACGAGTGTCGACTGTCGAGCGCAGTTGAGCTCGGTCGTTGCGTCGAGTTGGATGGCGTGCGATGGCTGGTGATTCGACGTCGCTGCGTCTGCTGCTAATTACGCGTCGCGCTCAGGTACGTGGTGTTTATCTATCAATGCGATGACGTCAATATCGTAATACCTACTCCGATACATATATCCGCGCGTGTGAACAGCTGGTTTCACCGTCAGTTGGAGAGTGGTGCGACGACGACGACGACGACGACGACGACGACGACGACGACGACGGCGACTTTCCCACGGGATAGAACGCTCGCTTGTTGACACTTCCACGTCTGATCATTCATCGTTGGCTTCTCAATCATCGTACATCGGAATTCCGGAGGATGGAGGCGCGCAAGAGAAATCAGCACGAGGACACCAGCTCGGCGGGAAATAGCCTGCAGAATCGCATCTGGAGCCACGGCAACGACAGCGAGGAGGAGGAGGTCGCCAGCGAGAACACATTGCTGAACGAAGTCAGCGAACAGAGGTTCGTACGACGCGCGGGCGCGTGCTTATCGAAATTATTTTCTCGCATCAGTCCAAGATTATTATAATCGCGTCCGCGGTTATCGTCAACGCTATTAAATTACATTGATAATTAGGTCGATGGCGTACCACAAACTTGATATCGTTGTGTTTCTTTGTTATATTTCGACCAAATGAACTCTGCTATGAACTCCACTATGTCATTATGATGTTGATAACGTTGCATCGTTCGGTTGTTTTTTCGACATTATGTAGGTTTTCGACATAACAGGTTCCAAATGCGCGGGTATTTTTAAGCGGTAATTTGGAAAAGATCGCGGCTAATTTTGTCATGTATGGTGGAGACTGCTTAGAATATACGCCATCGGACAATGTAAAAACCATGTATTGCACATAATTATCAACAAAAACGCATACTCCCTCCTCTTTTTGCCAACCTTTGGTTGGCAGCAAGTCGGTCGTAAAAAATGTAAATGAGATTTAATAATTTCATCAGTTGTTACTTGTGCTATTAAGTACATAAACTATATATTAATTTTATTTAGAAAATTTTCTTATCTGTGTATTTCCTATATATTATAATATGATCCTGTTGAAGAGACAAACACGAATCTTGGCATTGAGTACAACATACATATACAAATCTTTACATTTTGATTCTTATATTGAATATATTAAATATTTTATATTTATATGCTGTTGAAATAATGCAGTTACAAAATTTATCTATTTTATGTTAAAAACACATTGTTTTTTAATCGATAAAATTACTTAGCTTCATTAATTTATTGTTATAATTAGCTTATTAGTCCAACTTATATTGTTTTAATTTTCCATTTTTTTTGTATTTTTATCAAATATGTCACTGTTAATGTAATAGAAATAATTTTTATCAGTTATAAATTAATTATAATTTGCACTCAATTTCTTACGTTACAATTCTTCAATGATGCTCATATGCATTAACTTTCGATAGAAATTATAGTGGTTTAACTAATAACTGTCTGCATAACATACATAATCTATTTAACTTCTAATTCATTAGTCGACACTTTCTCAGAGATAAGATAACTATTATTTTTGAACTTAAAAGTATAATTCACGATCAATAAACAAAAAGCCACTATCTACAATGATTGATATGTATTTTACCACGTTGTGTCTACGTGAATATCTATAATCTCTGCGAACTGAAATAGTACGTGTTATCACATTTTCAAGTACCATTCTTGCCATGTTCGGAAATGTCATCACAATTATCACAAACTAGATATTTTTTTTTTTATCAAAAGCGCCTTACTTTACATACACGATTGACTGGGTTTTCTGTGAATAGAAAAAAAAATGATTTTATTTATTCTTGTGTATCAAATAAAAATGTAAAGTAAATGAAAAAAGAAAAAAGGAGTTAGTAAAAACTAACATTATAGTAAAAAACTAAATTAGTAATAGAATAATATCTAAATATAAGGTTAAATATAATTAATTAGTAAAATTTGTCTTTGACAAAAGCCATTATATCATATTACAGAAATAAAATATTATTTTCTTAATATTTATAACAGAATTTTATTCTCATGATTTAATTTAATGTAATAAATCTCTAATTATGATAAATCTCTGATATTACACTTAAAAGACCTAATAAATAAAACAGTAAAGGTAAAATGCTTCTTATGTATTATAGGCAAAATTATTCTACCCCAACGGATTGCAAGACTTGCCCAGTCGCATCATTTGCAGAGGACAAAATGCGACGCAAATTGCGATTCTTCTTTATGAATCCGATCGAAAAGTGGCAGGCGAAACGGCGTTTCCCCTACAAGTTCGTCGTCCAAGTCATCAAGATCATCCTTGTGACTGTACAACTCTGTTTATTCGCACATAACAATTACATGCACGTTAATTATACTTGGGACAACCGAGTCACGTTCTCCCATCTCTTTTTAATGGGATGGGATTCTACTCAAGAGGTATGCAGCTTGGTCACATCTCGTTTATATAAATGATATTTTCATTTTTTAATGCTGCTTGTTTCTCTTCTAAAGCGCAGAAGATAAAATTAGCATGAAAGATAGTACTTTAACTGTAAAATATTTTTATCACTCAAAATAGAAGCAAGCTTAGGTGTGATCATTGCATTTTCATTGCTTTAAGTATTAATTTATAAGATCTAGATAGTACCATAGATGGCGCGTAATAAGAAATTTTTCCATCTGGAAGAAGAATAAATTTACTTGTTAAGACTCTCATATAAAATATGATTTTTCATTTTGATTACTGTCTTTCTTATAATATCAAATACTAAGCGCACACTCAGCGAAATGTTTCGCTGTTTCAGCTAGAATTCTAAATATTACACTTAAATTATATCGCTGTTTTTTGTATATGCTAAAAAATTGTCTGTCATACGTAGAATTTATAGCAGCAATATTCTAAAAATATATACAAAAAAATATAGATCTCGTAACTAAATGTGATTGGAGTCTGGACTGAAAAACGTCATAGAAGAACTTTCTTGCTGAACTTGACAAATAGTTCAGATATAATTTCTGTCTCTGTTATCTTTATTGATTAAATACATATATGGTATTGCAGTGCTTACTAATCACTTATCCGTTTTAGCTACTTTTTCGTACCTAAATAGCTTACTATAATTGCAAGATTACTTTTTTCAAGTGGCATGAATATATAAACTTATGGCATTTGTTAATGCTTCAGGTACCTGCGTATCCGCCCGCGACGGGACCGTTAGCTATCTACAAGCGAAGCGATTTTTACGATGCCATCGATCACTCTCTGCACGGTTATTACAACGTCGACGACGCCATCGGCTCGTACTCCTACATTGCTGAGGACAATTCGGTCGGACCCGTGACCTTGTGTCTTTACCACTATAAGGAGGGCATCATATTCGGTTTCAACGAGAGCTACGTGTTTGACAGCGAGATCGTGGAAACCTGCACGAACATCAGTCTCGAGACCTTCCACACATTCAACTCGTCGCACAATCTTCTACAGGACAGGAACATTAACGTCAATTTCTCCGCACTGGTACGCGCCCATCTGAAATTTGCTCTGAAAACGGTGAATTTGAAAGCGGCTGGGCCAATGACACCACCCGATTGCTATCGCTTCAATATCAAGATCATCTTCGATAACCGCGATTTCGACGGGCAAATGCTGCTCTCGTTGGACGCTGAGGCCAGAAAGTTGCAATGCAAAGGTGACACCCGTTACATCACGGACAATCGCATCGAGTCGGCGCTGAGGACTTTACTAAATTTGCTTGTCATACTGATCTGTACGATTTCTCTGCTGTTGTGCTCGCGAGCGATATACAGGGCGCAGCTATTGAAGTTCGAGACTATTAACTTCTTCAAAAAAACGTACGGCACGACGCTAAGCCTGGAAGGCCGACTAGAATTCCTGAACCTCTGGTACATCATGATCATCATCAATGATCTGCTTATCGTCATTGGCACCGTCATAAAGGAGCAAATCGAACGGAAACATTCCGAGAGTGATCACTGGAATATTTGCAGCATATTCCTCGGAACCGGAAATCTGCTCGTGTGGTTTGGCGTATTGCGCTATCTTGGCTTCTTCAAGACGTACAACGTCGTCATTCTGACTCTGAAGAAAGCGACACCAAAGGTGGCGAGATTCTTGATATGCGCGGTGCTCATTTACGCCGGTTTCACATTCTGCGGCTGGCTGGTGCTTGGTCCATACAACATGAAGTTCCGCTCCCTCGCGACCACGTCCGAGTGCCTGTTTGCATTAATCAATGGCGATGACATGTTCGCCACGTTCTCCATCACGTCTTCCAAGTCGGCTGTGTTATGGTGGTACTCTAGAATCTATTTATACTCATTCATCTCGTTGTACATCTACGTTGTCTTAAGTTTATTCATTTCTGTGATAATGGACGCGTATGACACGATCAAGATCTATTACCGCGAAGGTTTCCCGAAGAACGACCTGCAGACGTTTATAGCTCCATGCACAGACGAGGCGTCGAGCGGCATCTTCAGGGACGACTCCGAGAGCAGCAACCTGACGCAGTTGTTTGATCGATTTTGTTGCTGTCGAAAAAGGCCCTTTTACGGATCCTTCTCAGAGTCAGACTCCTCCACGAAATCCGAGCAAGTATGCGGCGCAGCCATCTGCGTCTAGTGCGTTAATGCAAAACACCTGGAGGTGTTATGGTGCGACTATGGATACGCGATTTTAAATCGGTTGCATCAACATTAATTTAATGATTTTAATATGCAATTTTTTGCCCCGATTCGAATCTAAATAAAAATAAAATTAATAGGCAATGACTTTCATGTCAATATTATCACTCTATTTGTTTTTTTTTTTTATTGTATAAACTAATCTCTGCAGGAAATATTAAGAAAAATATATAATAAAATTTTTAAAAGTTTTTTAAAAATGAGATGTTTTTGTTAATGTAGTTTTAATCCGTCTTAAACATTAGAAAAATAGATTATCAAATAACATTGAGGGAGAAATTACTTGTATCTATTACATTAATGTTGAATGTTGATGCAATTAGATTGATAAAATATTTTCATGAACATTTATAAATGTTGGTAGCAAATTTATTTGACAATCGCGATACGTTTGTGCAACGCGAGACATTTCTGTTACTGCCACCTAAATTTAATTTATATAATATTTTATGAAAGCGTTTATTATAATATTGTAATACGATTATATTAGATTTCCCTTTTATTTTAATTTTTAATAAAATATAAAATAATAGGTCGCTACAGAAAAAGCCATTAGATAATTTTCTACCGAATGCCTCCTAACTGCAGTAGTCCATTAATTTCCAACACGTTGGCTAAGCCATTTTTCCAACATATTAAAAATACATAAAACAAGTGTTGCAAAGCATAAACAAACGTGACAAGAAAAGTGTTCAGCGGAACTTTTGAACTGTTAGCAATTGATGCAAAATAATGCCGAAAATTTGTGTACAGTATTTCATCGAAAAAAATTCCTTGTACATTTGCATGTATAATACAATTATATATTTATTATTGTACTTCGTTGAAAACCCACGTAGAATTTATGCAGCATATATTGCTTTTGTGATAGATATAATATCAACAAATAATATTCTTGAAGAAAGTAAAATAATTAGAAATCACACATAATAAGAGTTGCAGCTTAAATGCAGCTACATAAACCAATTCAGTGTTATATACCAAAGTTATAAAAAAACCATGTAACATATAATCTAAGTAAAAATTGTCCAAATTGTATATATACACGCATATACATGTACATCAAGCAACTATAAGCTTATTGTTAGTTTATATAAAATTGATGTCGAATAATATGAATTATTTGATAAATTATTTAATGAATTGGTTATAATAGCCGTAGTTCCAGGGCCTTATTTTCGAAAAATTTTGCATATGGAAATGTATAAAAATACTTTAAATACTATAGTATATATTACGTATACTTAGTACATTTATTAATATTATATGTTATGTTACATATATTATAGTATATTTATTAGTATTATAGTATACGTTGCGTATATTATAGATTTCCCTGGTATTTTCGTATGCGAAATTTTTTGAGAATAAAGCTTCCGATCTTGAATGCATGTGTGTACTGCATAAAAATCATAGCTTTGTATCAAGCGTAGGATAAAATCGCACAAAAGCAACATTATCCCTAGAAATATATTTATATTTACATTGAAGTACAATAAATTTGATTTTTTTTCTAATATCTGTTACAAATATTTTTACTCTTTTGTATCTCTGTATTTATGTTTTAGATATAATTAAAAAAATATTCATATTTAATTTGAGGTAAGAAATATTGTGCCATTGAATTATATGTATATATATATATATATATAAATAAATTTAACAATTATTTTACATTGTCTTAATAACGAATATTCTAATAGGTCAATATAATCAACCTTGATTAGTCACTTAAAATCTTTTTTACTAGTTAAGAAAAGTGATTAAACTTGCAATTTAAAAAAAGATTTCCTATTCGTTCAAGATTTTCGGTGTAATAAGGAAGAGAATGTAGCTCAAATTGACATAATGTTATAAACAAAATCTACATATATTTTCTCCTCTCACATTTTGAAATCAATAAATCTAGTTTCAAGTCCGAAGAACTTGCGTAGACTCTGTTTAATAAATAAATGGCCCCGCTCCCAATACATACTACCTTTTAATGCAAAATCTCAATAATAGTGCATGTGCATCACGCACGTATGCACGCGTATGTGTGTGAAAGAGGAGGAGGGACTGAAGAGAGTATACATATAGATGTCCAAGTGAGAAAAAAGGAGCGAGTCGATGCAGTGTATGTACGTGCAGCTCCATGCGCTTTCGCTACCACCACGCTGGCGGCCGTGTATACATATGCCTGGCTCTTTGTTTATCCTCCGCATGACGTACATACATACGGGCGTCGCGCAGCGCGAACAAGAGGGCCCGATGCAATGCCGAGTCCGAGGCTCGGCTGTGTGGCACTTGGCAGAAACGGCAGCAGTCAGTGCCGAGTGCGCTGACCCGTGGGACGGTTAGTGATGGTCGTTGACCGCGATTGAGCGCGATCCATTGTTTACATCGGCGCGCATCTCGGATTCTCTGAGGAACGGCATTTCGCGCCCGTGGCGGCCCTCGTTGACGAGCCGATCCGTCCGATCGTCATTGATTCTACCGCCGCGATAAAACGACGCGGGTGAACATGTCGAGAGTAGCGGGAAGCTCTCCCGCGAGAGCCGCGAACAAAGGCGAGCAGCAACAACAGCAGCAGCAACCGCCGCCGCAGGAATTCCCGCTGGGCCTGGATAAAGACGCCAGCGAGCACAGCATCTCCAGCATGATGTCGTGCGTGTCCATTTCGCCGAAACACGCAGAAAGTAGCCTCCGCGTTATGGAGAGTTATCTGCACAAGCAACAGCTGACGGACGTCACGCTGATCGCGGGTGAGTGTATGTACCGGGCCGGCGGGCCCTCGGACGCTTTGTTTTGGTAACAAGGCACCTGTCGGCGCGACATGTGTCAACTGTCAATTAGAATTATGATGATTCAGATGATGATCAGACGTTCCAATTAATAAACTGGAATTATTATTTTAGCCGAATATTTTTACAGATATATATAGAAATATTCGGAATATATTTGAAAATAATTCGAAAATAATTTTGCTCGTTTATATATATTGTGTGTTTTTATGTACAATTTTATATACATTTTTTTATGTATAATTAAGATTCGTAGAGAAATTCTTTTTATTATTATTATTAAAAATTGTTAGAATCTTTTCTTCCAATTAGCGGATAATTTGCTATTGTTTAACGTTTCTAACTAGTAAACATTGAAGATAGATAAATTATATTTTTTTATATATTGAAAATACTCTTCATGCTCGATGTAACTTATTGAGGCACTCCATTTTCTTTGTCTCTGATTTGTGCTTTTTTTTAGGAAATAAACGTGTGCCAGCTCATCGATTAGTACTCAGTGCTGGCTCTGAATATTTTGCTGCCATGTTCACTAGCTCTCTGCGAGAGTCGGCGCAAAATGAAATAGAATTAATGGACGTTGATGGAGATGCGTTGTGGGCTTTGGTTCTTTACTGTTATACAGGTAATTCTGCTTGATAAGATATGTATATGTTTGATTTAAGAAAAATATCAAGAATATTACGAGAAAGAATGCATTTGTAGATATTTTTCAAATTATTAATTTTTAATGACATTGGTATATTTACAGGTTGCATAGAATTACAGGAGGATAGCGTAGAAACTCTTCTTGCAACAGCGTGTTTATTACAATTGAATCCAGTTATTAAGGCATGCTGTCAGTTTCTCATCAAACAACTCCATCCAAGTAACTGCCTGGGCATACGAATGTTCGCCGATACGCAGGGCTGTTCGGAATTATTTGAATACGCACACGCATACACTACCAAACATTTTATGGAAGTTACAAAAAATCAAGAATTCTTACTGTTATCTGCCAACGAAGTTGCAAAATTACTTGAATCTGAAGATCTCAATGTTCCCTCAGAAGAAACGATTTTTCATGTAAGATTAGCTACATAAATTACTTTTTAAATGTAAATAAATGCAAGACCAACTGTGTTTGTGAAACAGATTTATATGAAATTTATATTAAAAAAAATTTTTTAAGAGAAAGATGTTACACGGTTATAATTCTTTTTAATTGTTGCTCATAAATATATTTATAATTACATAAATATATATATATGCTATCATAAAACCAATTGTCCGAACAGTGCGCCATTACATCAATAATTTTTTTAAACTGTTGTCCGACTGTTATTTTTATTTGGTCAATTGTGAAACTAATTGTGAAACTGCCATTGTCAATACATGCATGGAACCACAGTTTTTAATATCTAAATAACAATTTGAAGAATCATTATCGGCATAAAGTGACACTATGATAATTATCCAGATAATTAATTTCGTGACTGTATGTAATTAGAATATCTACATAGAATAACAGAGCCAAGAATTAACATTATTATCATTATTATTTCAGGCTTTAGTGACTTGGCTTGAACACGATCCAGAAAACAGAAGCAAAGATGCCAGTACTTTATTAGGTTTAGTCAAATTACCACTGCTATCACCCGCGGTGAGTTAATCGACAGCTTGACTTTTTTTTTACTCGACAGAACTTGTTGCATTAGATCAACTAATAAATCAAAACAGTTTATAGCTGATAATATTGAGAGCAACGAAATGTTCAAAGACCAAAGGGTGGCACAGGAATTAGTAATGGAAGCATTGAAGTACCATTTGCTGCCTGAGCGAAGACCTTTGCTTCAAACAGGCAGAACGAAACCCAGAAAAGCCACTGTGGGTACGTTGTTAGCTGTTGGAGGAATGGACGCTAATAAAGGTAATTTATTATTATTGAAAATGAATTATTTAATACCAATTACGATTAATGCAAAGAAAACGCATATCAATAGTGTCACACTATTTTAATTTTTCCAAGCAAAATAATTTGCAACATAATTTCCAGGTGCAACGTCTATAGATGCATTTTCATTGCGCGATAATGCCTGGAAATCTTTAGCTGCCATGAGCAGTAGAAGATTGCAATTTGGCGCAGTAGTAGTCGATAAAAAATTGATTGTCGCGGGCGGTAGAGACGGTTTGAAAACGTTGAACACGGTGGAATGCTTCGATTTCTCCACCCTTACGTGGAGCACTCTACCACCTATGAACGTTCATCGTCACGGATTAGGTATGTGTGCTCGATACAGGAGAGCTTGCGAAATTAATACGCAATTATTTTATTTCATTTATTCATAATAAAAACCCGATAAATACGTTATATATTTTTTTAGGAGTGGCAGTCTTAGGTGGACCTTTATATGCAGTTGGCGGTCACGATGGTTGGAGTTTTCTTGATGCAGTAGAGAGGTGGGATCCGGCAACGCGACAGTGGAGTTCGATATGTCCTATGTCCATACAAAGGTCTACCGTCGGTGTGGCTGTGTTAAACGATAAGTAAGTCTTTACAGAGAAATTATCTAATTTATATATTTATATCATGTCCATTTTTATTTCGTTTTTGTGTGTGTGTGTGTGTGTGTGTGTGTGTGTTTTCATATGGATATATTTTACCAATTTTAAATCTCTTGTTTAATATTAAGTTTTTTAAATTATTTTGATGCAATTTTGTTAATTGTTTTAGATTATATGCCGTAGGAGGAAGAGATATCAGTTCCTGCTTAAATACCGTAGAATGTTACGATCCGCATACAAACAAGTGGACACCGTGCGCGCCTATGTCGAAGAGGCGAGGCGGTGTGGGCGTAGGAGTGGTGAACGGTTGTCTTTATGCACTCGGTGGTCACGATGCTCCGGCTAGTAATCCTAACGCTAGCAGATTCGACTGTGTAGAAAGGTGAAGCCGCTATTACGTCATGTGTTAAAATTTTCAATGCAATAATGCAATAATGCAAACATGACGATACAGGTACGATCCTAAAACCGATACATGGACTATGGTCGCGCCAATGAGTGTGCCCCGGGATGCGGTCGGTGTGTGCGTGTTAGGTGACAGACTTATGGCCGTGGGAGGATACGACGGTCAGCAATATCTCACGGTAGTGGAAGCCTACGATCCACATCTCAACGAATGGGAACCTGTGAGTGTAGCAAATTATTTTTGTAATTGAATACAGTACAGAAATAAGTTTGAATTTCTTTTGCGAATTTAAACATGCTTATGTTTGAAGGTTGCTCCTCTCAAGGCTGGCCGTGCGGGACCCTGTGTTGTTGTGAAAAATTTAACTAATCATATATGTGACATCAGTAACATGTAGATCATTCTTACGAAACGATCAGTAATTGGACTTGCTAATATGCAATTTGTATTTGTAATTACATGATTTTTTTTCAGAAAATAACAGAATTTGCTCTCTTGTGATATCGTATGAATGTTAAATTAATCGCACTGTTATTTTTCTGAAACAATTTTAGATGATTTTATATTTAAATAAGTATTATATTTCTTCTTTTAGCATGTAGCAACTTTTATAGGATTTTTACACGATTTTTATTGTATTGAGGAAATTCCAATCATTGTAATCACTGAACATATTTAGCACTTAATTTGTACATAACACTTCGATTTTATATGAATTTTCAATGTAACGAATAATTTTGCTATTGACAATATTGTGGTAATCTATCGTATTATTCTAGGATATAAATACAAAAATTTTCAATAAAATATAAACATGTTTTCTCTCATAAAAGTAACATTGCTTTTCATAAATGTTCATATTTTTCTGTATAATAAATCTATATCATAAAATATAAATTGTGAAGCCATTTTTGCTAGGAATAAATGATATAAATCAAGAGTGTGTGCTGGAGAAAAACTGGAAAAAATAAATATTTCAAATATAAATACCTCAACTAATTACAATGTCTGTGTTAAATGATACTGACAATTTTGTAAAAAAAATCATAATCTAATAAACTTAAATTTTAATGAAAGAAGAACGTGTACATACATAAGAACAAATTTATTTTTTTCATCAAGATAAATATCTTTATTTACACATGATATATGTTTCTATACTTGGTGATTATAATCTCTTGAAATAAATAAATTATATCAACTAATTAAAAGAAAAATCTTCACATTGTTCCATACATTTACATTACAAATGTTTTTAATTCTTTTCTTAACAAGCCGGAAAAGTCCTGAAACAATCATAACAGCAAATTATATATCTTTCACAAAAGTAGAAACAAAAATCGTAAAAAGTATAGAAACTACGCATTCTATATCTTTTTTAAAAAAAGAATCTTACAATATCGATGAGATTGTTAATGCGAAGATAGAAAAATACACTTTAGCTCACCGTGGAAAATCCGACGCTGGCTCCGCAAACTTGTGCCTGACCATAAACGTAGCAATAGCCTCCGCTACCTTGTCCGGGACGTCTTCGTGAACAGCGTGTCCACAAGCGGGCAATACTTGCATTTGGAATTTACCTATTTTTATGGAGAGACAAGTAACCATTTTATTGGAAAATGCTGCAAAAATTATGCCGCAGCGTTGTGCGTACGCGTCAACATTGAAAATTATATACCTTGCATTTGTCCTACAGTGAGTTCGCGGTCTAGTCTATCGACTCCTGCTAACAACAACATTTTCGGTATAGGGACATTTAAGAATGCCGTCGATAATCCCTTAAACCAGCCGAACCAATGCTGTTCCGTTTTTGCCAAATCTATTCTCCAGACATACTTTCTGTTAGTAGAAGAAACAGCAGCAGAAGACGCGGGTGGCGGCGGTGGCATATTGGATGACTCTTCTTCTTGGATAATATCATCCCGCGGTACGACTGGTTCTGGATTAGATTCACACGTGTTGTATTGGGTTGGCAATGAGTCAATATCATGAGTTGCTAATTTGCTAGTTTGAATGCTGAAAGAGCGTGTGTTGCATGACTCGATTTATTTTAACATTAATACGACGGTATCACAAAAACCTAAGAGTAACCTTAAGAACTCACTAACTTCTTTATTTGTCCAGGAACTGAAACCTTTGCCGATTGTATATTCCGAATTTGTCCGCTACGAACGCTGAAAACAATTAAAGATTAAATCGATCATAAAACTTTATTTTGTGTGTATATATATTTATATACATCAAGCACTTAAAGAATTAAATTATTTTCAAACAACAAATTATTTAAAAAACATATATTACTTGTCACAATATATAATGTATCTAATTTATTAAATATATTTTTTTATTAAATAATTAAATATCTAATGTATGACTAATGCATTAAAAGCATAAGGAATACTAACCACCACTCTATAGCCTGAGGTATGGTGCTAAAACTAGACGGCCGGGATCTTAAAAAACTCTGCATAGAGGCTAGCGCATCCATCGCTGTGCCCTCTACAACATCTATAACTCCTAATCCATATAAATTTGGAATTAGTGGAGCTGCTCTTACAGCTACCGCCCCACCCATGCTATGACCAAAAAGAATTATTGGATCATCGTGCGCAATTACATCTACAACAGCTGCAACATCCCTGGATAAAAAAAAACAAATAATGCAATTTACCAATGTAGCAAAGGTATTTCATAAGATTTTATACATACAAGCAATTTATATGTTGTAACATATGTAAAAACTTAACAAAATTTTCGAGCTGTTACAGATATATATAACTTTATAGAATTTTTTACATTCACAAAAAATTTATAACACATTTATCAATTTGCTCTTACTCGACTGAAGATTAAAATGCATAGATTTAAAAAGTGTAATCAAAATGATTTTGAAAAAAAAAAATTAATTAAATGTACATTTTACTCACGATGCTAAAGTATCTGCAGACAAGTCCTCGTCCTCTGTGGTATGTGTATCCCCATGGCCCCTAAGATCAATAGCCATGACTCTACATAGCACCATTGTCATAATAGATTTCTAAAATTCATAACGTGCATTAATCCCTTTCGCAGCAGCGTTGTGTTATTAGCAATTGCAAACATCACTCACCGTGAGTTCTGCCCATGTTAAAGCACTGTAACCACCACCATGCAATAAAACTAATAACGGTCCCTCGGTACCCTTAATGTAAACGTGAAAAGTGTTCTGTCCCACCGGCACATCCTTGGAATGATCGAAGTACGGATCCCATCGCACTGGTTCGTAGTCTCTCCTCCGCTGGGCTCCTCTCGATTTGCCAAGTCTTAAAAAAAAAATAGAAGCGTTCTTGAATACAATTTCGTAGCAGCTTCCTTCGAAGCTACTTATTAGTAGCTTGTTACAAATCCCACTTCCGTGCAATTTCTCAGGAGGGGATTGCGCCACGAACCTGGAGTTCAAAGCCGAGAAGTTGACGGCCGACGGTGGTAGTCTTGATTTCAAAATTGACTTTTGAAGAGCAGACATGTTAACGTATCGCGGATGTCAGTGAACACCGTCGTGTCGGGAACGCTCCTTGCACTCGTGCTTTCGATTGCAGTCATATATGCAAAAGAAAACGCTTCGCGATGCGCGGCTGCGTGCGCCACCAAGATAACGGAAAAAAACGTGAGACTGAGAGGCGTATGTACTAGTGACGTTAACGGACCCGCCGGCGAAAGAAATGTCGAGGACGCAAGACTCACACCACCGCACACGCACACCAACGCGAAATACGCGAATAGAGCGCAAATGGCGGAAACGGATTTTTTTTCATTCTCTTATCTTTACCAGAGAGAAGCATGAAAGTGGCCATCCCGGCGTTTTTCGCAACACCGAAAAACTTCATGCACTAGCGCCAATTGCATCCACCTTTGAGATGGAACTACGAAGCCATTTTCTGATACTGCCGATAAAATTATAAGCAGAGAGCAGCCCCCTGACACTCGTAGTTCTTAGTGGTTACTTAATGTCCGCGTGGCGCTGGCAACATTAGGTCCGGTCATATACATATATATGTATATGATATTGAAAGGATACAGTAGAACCTCTTTATAGTCACACCCTCGGGACCGAAATGTGACTATAAAGAGATTGTCTTAGCTCCACCTAGAGTCCTAGATTATCAGAGAAGCGCGACCGGTGTTACGAGTCCTGATTGGACTCGCAAATGGCCAATCATAAAATTGATTTATCGCTATTATAAA